TTTCTTTACTAACATAGAAATGCCGTCAAATGGAAAGGCGGATATCCGTGATCGGTCTAAATCGAATGAGAAGGAACATGATACACGTCAGAATCGATATAAGGAAAACACCGCTTCATTCAGCTCCACTTATCGCCTTACTAAAAATAAAGGAGTTACACATAGTTTATGCTAAACCCTATAGGCTCTGCATATTAGAATTGCTTTACTTCTCGCTGGGTGTTATGTTAAACCAGCAGAGTAAAAGGATAGGGTTGAATATGGATTGAATGGAATAGGTCTTTCCCTAGCCGCCCGCCCTATAGAGGTAAACCGAAAATTTAAGGTGTACTTATAGGAAGACCCTTATTTCGTCACAGAACCACAATCATAGGATCCGAGTCCGATCTCGGAATCCCTTTGGTTTAGCATGGCAAATAGTTTTTAGGAGGGAACAAGGTCCTGTTAAATTTGTAAGACTCAAAACCTCCGTCAAACCTACTGAGTAATTACTAAGTTTTCATTGGATGGTTCATCTGCTCCCAAAAAGCATATGTATGTGCTTGGTGAGAAAGAAGTCCTTTTAGGTTATAGGGAAGGGGATAGTGTAAGGTTCCTCTCTATTTACAAGAAGTAAAAAAGACAAAATTCCACCAGAAGGTATATCCTGAAGATATGATCAATCAGTCCAATGGGCACCTGAAGGCCTGGTAAATAGCCGGTATAACTTCCTTCACTCTCTGGTAGCGAGAAAGCTTCTGTAAATCAGAGGGTAGAAGGTGAAGCGGTGGTGGTGATCTAGTCTTCAAAATAAAATCTTGAAGAACTAGACAATACTTTACTTACCAGCCTTACTAGGCAAGACAGAAACCAATCCTAGAACTACAAGATGATACGACTTCTCCTAACGACAAGTAAAGGCATACCCGAACATAAAGGAGAGCGGCTTTCCCTATATTAGAAAACAAGAATGGAAGTCCATATAAATTAGGGGGAAAGGAGAAAGCTCAAGCGCGTTGCATAAAACAGTGGGTTCCTGATCTTGTCTTCCTTCAGGCTAAAGCTTCAAGTCTCAATCCGAAGTCAAAGAGAACTATTCAACAACATCCCTCTTTTCTACATACATTCCTGGGTTTTTTGGTTGCTTGCTTTGCTTAACGTTCCTAATTTCTATCGTCAATAGATAAGGGCTCAGACGATGTTATCTTTCCCAAGGGGGAAAGCGCTTTAACATTAGTGAAGACTAGCTATATATCATGCTACTTCAGCTAGAAGCTATATGCTTCTTTTCTTAAGACTAGTCTTAAGACTCATTCTATCCTATCTATCCACCTGAGAGAGATCACTACTATAAAGAGCCTCACCTAAAAGACCAGTAACAGCCTATTCTTGCAGACAGCGGATTCTCTTTCTTTATCTTCATCCGCCCCTACTCGTCTTTGCCCTGCCATTTCCAGTCATTTACAATGCCAGTGATTAAAAAAAGAATAAGGAAGCCGGCTCATCTTTGATTCTAATGTGCCAATTCCTCTCTTCAATGAAAGATTGATCTGTCACTTCCCAAAGAAAGGGACTCCTAGAGTGTGAACCCAGGATCCGAGATGTGGAAACATTTGCCGAATCTACATACGCCGAAGCCTAGAAAGAAAATTTTTAAATTTAATATTATTGCTCCATCCGGAATTAATTTCCCACCTACCTTGGGATAAGTGGTTGCCGGAAGCTTGAGACTTGAATGGTAATTACTTGAACACTCGATTATGGTATTAATATAACTTAATAAGTTTATCCCGTGAGGTAATCTATACCCGTGCTATAAGGAATATAAAAACGGACTTGTATTTTTCTTTTATAGGATACTGGAAATGAGACTACAGTAAGAGTCCGGGTGTAAGCTCAAGTAGTGGTAGCTCCGTGAATAACAAACTCAATATTTAATTCCTACCCACTAAGTAAAGGAGTCCAGTCTGAGTAGCTGGATCATCGAAAGACTTCCATTAGTGAATCGTTATAGCATTTTGTATCGATAGCGCTTCTTTTTGAGGAGATTCTGTCTTTGATCCATGCTTGTGATCTCGGTTGTGAAATTAAAATTATCTTTTGGCTTGGTAATGGTTTTCTTTTTCTTTAGGGAATGAATGTTGTTCCTTTGTTTCATCGCATAGAAGTTTTGTTTTTCCCAAGTCTGAAGATAGAGATAGATATGAATCATCCACTGTGGAAGGAGATGCGGCACTTGCCATTTCATCCCTAGCCTTCGTCTCGTATAGGACATTAGTTCAGGTCAGCCCCTTGGTATGCAAAGATCAGTATCACGCGTAGGTGAATCATTAAATGAAGAATTTGCCAATTTCTATTTTAGTTATCGAGTGTAAATCAATGTTATGCCTTTTTCAGTATTATAAATATGATTGAAACCTTCACTTTCGAACCCTGTGAGGAGTCAGCTTCCAATTGAGTCGGTGTGTTAAGTATAGACTTTCCACATACATTAATAGGGCTTTTTAGCCATTCGACGTTTTGTCTCTTTTTTTCCCAATGCTGCCTGAAATATAAGAAATAATAGAAAGAAGCGGCTAAGCCCTTGCTTGATAAAGAAAAACTAAAATGCGGCTAGCTCGATCGCTTCGATTGGTTTCGGTCTAATCAATGAATGTATAGGGGTCCACCTAATCTTTCCGCAGGTACGATCTAGACGACCACATTCCTGTTCGCCTAGGCTAATCAATCCAATGGCTTCGCCCGTTCCAGTCCCCGGGATCCTAAACTAACTGGATATTCGGAGCCTATAGATCCCGCGTCGGATTGATCTGACTCCAGCGCCACCCCCACGAAATCTTTTTCTTTGTTTCTTATATGGATGAATTCTTCTTCTATGCCAAAATTCAAAGTTTATTTCTTTCTCCAAGTCTTTTACTTTTCCCTTTTCCTAGGTTTGCTTCTTGAACTTGAACGACCGGTTGTTGAGTCTTATTCCCCCATATGATCTGAGAAAGCCTCTTCTTCATAATAAAGCTAGGGCTAAAGCTCAGGGATGGAAGCCAAAACAAAGCGAAAGAAAACAGCATTCAAAGTGGAATGTCTAATTTTGTGGTAAGAATCGCCATTCGTAACCGCTGAAGCAGGAAGATCTGATCGCTACCCCTGAGTGAGAGGGGGTGTTTTCAGAGCAATCAAAGCAATCACGACGAACAAAAGAGGGCCAGATTCGCAAATGTGTGTTCTCAGGTTATGGATTTAACATAGTATAAATAGATTCGGCAAGAGATTGCGCGGCATAAGACTCTCTCGACCTGTTAAGCCCATACTTAAATTCCAGGACATTCATGAATCTACTCGAGCTCTTTGGCAGTCCTTACCCACCTTTCATGTAAAAAGGAGACTCGCAAATGTTTATGGTTCTAAGGGCAAGTACCTCCTACTAAACGTCCTTATTGAAAACGAAAGCGACACCCCTTGTTGAAATAAGATTCAATAAAGCAGACCACTTTTTTCCTTGGGCCGTAGAGAATAAAACAAAATTTCCCCGGAAAAGAGGATAAGAATCTGATGTCGAAGAGGGATATAATTTTCCTTCAATTAATTATTGAACCAAGTAGTGGCTCTTTCCCGACCGGATGTTCTCTCAATCCCTTAATTAAGGGAAGATGGAAATAATCCCTAAAAGTCTCAGTCGCAAGCAACCTAAATATGGCACCTGTCGCAGGGCCCCACTCGGATGAATGGTTTTGAGGAAAGGAACTATATCCTTACGTACTAGGTTTTTAAGCTAGTTTGATACCCGAAGGCTCGGCTCTTGTTTAGAGTAGAGGTAGGTCTCTTTTGGAAGCGTTCGCCAGTGACTAGCTCAATCGAGGATTAAAGACGTGAAAGCTGAGTTCAAAAGGAAGGTGTAAACAAACGGCGAAAAAAGCTGAGGCTTTATCTCATTCTAATATAGTGTTGAATACACTTGCTAGAGAAAATGTTATTGGCCTTTTCGGCTTAGTCACTCTCTCGTTGTTCCGATTAAAGGATTGAACAAGAAGAGTTGCTACGTGTAACATAAAGAAGACTGAGAATCAGGGCTTCCTCTAACAAGAGAAGAAGCCATTAGTAGTCCAGGTTAGGCTTTCGATTTAATACCAATCTCCCACAGAGTAGTGTTAAAACAATAATAGTTGTATGGGCTCAGCCCTAGTTCTTAAGGCGAAGTCTCACATGAAAGAGAAAAGTCAACATGATACTCGAAAGACGCTCGACGATAAAGAAAATAAAATGACTCTTTCTTCGGTGGACATGGCGGAGGCTCGTGCACTTACACTTAGGAAAGGTTCTGACCTGGCTTTTTATCTACAGCTATCTTATGTTTGTATGTATGAAAACGGATTCATCTCAGGTCTTGAAAGCTTTTCATAGTCAAAAGTCGTCTACAGATTGCAGTCTGAGGCCTATTGTTAGTGATGTGCAGCAACTCCTGATGTCCCACCACAGCTGGTCGGTATAAAGGGTGAACAGATTAGCCAATGTTTCGGCCGATTGGGTGGCAAAGCATCTTCCTGACTGAAAGTGTCGACATTACTGGGTGCAGAGTCCTCCACCAGATAAGCTATTCTTGCTATTTTAAGAGAAGATCACCATTGTCTGACTTAGGCCTTGATTTCTTTTTATTTCAGCTTTCAATGCCCGGAATAGGAACGAACTGAGATGATTCGATAGTGGGAACTCATGAGCGCTCATCCATTCTTTGCCGGGAACTAGAGCAGACATAAATTACCTTGATCGAAAGTGAGCCCTTCACGAAGCATGGAAAGTCAAAGGATGCGAAGAGAGCGCCACTACTATCTTTCCGGGAAAGATAACTCCTAGGTTAGGCCGACAAGACATCAAGAGGGAGAGAAAGAAAATGAGCCAAGCCTAAAGCCCGTAGGGTGTAAATTGATAAGACCAATAGGGAATCAAAAGGCAAGATTAAGAGATAGAAGGCCAGGCTTGTCGCCAAGGGGTTCACTCTGAAAGAAGACATCGACTACACTGAGACCTTATCCCCGCTTTCTATTCCTTCCCGGCCTGCTGTCGTCAACGGTCCGCTTCCTTGAATGAGATTTGGTCTTCCCGATCCACGAATATTGTTTGTTGTCCTTTACTTGTTTAGTGGCATCTGTCTTAGGGCATATGGAATTCTCAGTTTCGGTATTCTAATTTGTAAACGGCCGAACTAAGCTAAGCGCTTGGCTTGTCTTATTAGGTTCCCAACCGACCTGTACATTAAATATCGAAATCTGTTACAGAAAAGAATGAACATAACGAGGCTTGGAGTATCTAAAACTAAGTCCAGCGAACTGGAAGTATCTTCAGACTCCCTCATTGCTTGGCTATCGAAGTGGACTTATACATTGATAGCCTTTTATGTGCGTCGACACGACATGCTTACCTTTCATTCTTTTACCCTTCTTATCCCTCGGCTGGAAGGAATAGAAAGAACACAACTATCATAAATAAAGCCGGGAGAACTCCTATATATTACATTACAGCGGGATAAATTCCTACATGAAAGAAAGCTACACCCATCCTAAAAAAAATCTCAATAAAGGTACAAGGCTCTAAGAGAGAGCCATGCTGAAGGAGAGACCCGAACAGAGACTGGGACGAACAAACAGAGACGCGAAGCGCATCGAAGAGCTTCGTTAAGCCCGTTAATTCTGTACGTAAGAGAATATCCCACTGGTCGATCAATCAATGAAATAATTACTACAATTGTGGTGGTACCAACATGGCCAGTTAGCTCAGAAACCCTCTACCCACTATAAGAAAAGTAGAGGCGCTTACCCACTCTAATAGTTCGCCTTACGGCTCACCTTGGAAGTATGGCTTACCTGAAAAACTTCCACTCCCCTCGTTGACAATCACGAATGAACTACGACCACAGCCAAGATTCTTTCTACCACGACCTCGCGCGGTAACCTGTGTTGCTTTAAAATAAAAACCGTTATGGTACTATTGTCACCAGTCCTCTGGCCTTGGGAAGGCCACCTCCTACACTACAATAGGTCATTGAAGGCGAAAATCCGACGGATCAACCGTTACGGGACAGAAGCTTTAGCACTCAATCTGTCTCTATTGCTGCTTCCCGGTAACATTGATCAATAAATTTACGGGCGGAACCTTCCTTTCAGTCTATCGAGTGCCTGACTTCTCTATTGATCTGACCGGCTCGATTGAGACAAAGATTAAAGGTGCGAATGAGCTAAAAGGCTGAGTCCGAGACTGGGAGAAGAACTAGCAATAAATGCAGACTTCGCTCTGCACCTTTAGGTAAAGATCCCCTCCAATCTTCCTTTAATGGAGATATTCTAAAATGTAACTTCCGGTAAGAAAGGGGATAGATTCTCGAAAAAAAGATGTGCGCTTCTTCTTGATGCGGCAGACTGCCTCTTTCTAGATAGATTCTATGGGTGCTAATCTGTCTCTTTATTGGACCAAAGAGTGGCTCTCCGCGGAGTTCGTTCCGATGCCTATCGTGCCTTGCAAGATTGAGATATCAAGGCTGGTACCAAAGCAAAGAGAAGAATAAGAATCTAATCTCTGCTGCCCACAACATAAAGGGGCTCATTACTCGTTTTCGTATTGGATTGGGATGGGACTATCCAATAACGAATTCCCTTCTTCTTTCATTTCACTACTCCTTTCTTTCAACTTTCAAGGCTGCTTAGTTCGTAGTTGAAGGAAGGTCTCGTATCCCGAGATCTATGTGAAGAGAATAATCTACGGTGAGTGAACAATGAGGCTATGCTTTCTACAAGGCACTGTAAGCTCATGGTCAATCCATTCATCGAAACAGAAGGACGGCCAACCCATAAGAGAAGAGGCTTATCCATGTAAAAAACACAATAGACGAGCTCATAAGACCCTGCCTTTGAGGCTAATTCGAAGAAGAAGATTCCGGAATAGTCCAACCGGGTAAACCAATTCTTATCCTTCTTCTCGTCCATCTTAGCAGAGACAAAAGGGAATCGGTCAGGAATAGCCTTTAAGGATTCTAGCTCCTCTAGACCGTACCTGTTTAGCCGATGTCTTAAATATAAGACTGGTAGAAATTTTAGGAAAAATTTAATTTAAAAGCCATGACATGACCAGCTGATTTGTGGCACTCCAGTCAGCCATCTTGGTCTCACTCATATTGGGGATCAGAGAAAGAAAGCGGGCTGACCTCAAAAAATAGGTTCCTGCTCCATAAACGCTTTCCTACAATGAACAGACGAACCGAGCGAGCCCAATGCAAAGAACTCCACGGAGGAGATCTGGTTACCTTTTTTCTAATACGTAATACGAGGAGGTAATTTGTTGATACCGAGAATGATAGAAGAAGCTTCAAAACCCCTGCTTGAGAATCCGGTCTTTGAGAAGGAGCTACATGTGTTCTTGTTCGAGAATCCGCATCCCGTCGAATCAGCTGTGAGGGTTAAAAGGGCTTACGACGAATAGGCTCTTTGATGGGGCATTACAGGGTCACTATAAATATCATACATAAGAGAAGAAAAAGGGTAAGTAAAAGAAAGGCATTGCGTCCTTCTCTTTTCCAGTACAAGAGTTCTTATTTTGTGCCCGAGACGAAGGATGGATTGATTGCACGACTATAGGCAAGAGTTGACTGACTTCCAGGAACTCCTGCAATGTTCTGCGCCTTTTTCTTTCTAAGTTTTTAATATATCTTTGGTCACTTTCTTTGTGCAAGTAATCTTATTTTGCTTCGAGCACAAGGCTTCACAAGTCAAGTAACGGATCCCATTACTGTAGGGCTTCCCGCCCAAATGCTCCAATAAAGCTCTTCCCGCCTTCCAGATAAAACCTAGTGAAAACTTGTTTTAGAGGTTGGTTTGAATGGGGGGTTGCTCCTATCTTGACTCGATGCTTGGTCACTAGCAGACTTGTCCCTCCGCGGATTCGTAGACCCACTAAAGTCAAGGTAGGTTAAAGAAAGGACTATCTCCGGTGGATCTTCTAACTTAAGTTTGTGGTCGTAGAGAAGGAAAAGAGCCTAATTTCGGGGCTGGAGAGGTCGGAGAAGCCTCTGATTGACATAGTTTCCTATGGCAAACACCCTCCTCTTGCCCGCACCAGACTCAACTGAATGCGAGAACCCGCCAAGATAGCAAAATAAGTCACAAGTATTGTCAAACTCCATCAGAATATATTTTTGAATTGTAACAGAACTATTGGTTGATATATTGGATAGCCAATCATCCCATTCATCACGAGGTGGTAATGGATAACCATAAAAAAGGATGCTGATCCTTTCGATGTAAGCTTCTGCGTCATTCCTAATGCTAATGCAGGGTTAACAAACATCGATAAATGGAGCATAGCGAACCAGAGTCATTGTGATGTAAAATTGGCAAATATGCCTCTTTCACGGCGAGACTGACCATGTCGCTTACGATCCGTTGGCAAAGCCTTCCAAGTCGGTTCCCACGAGATTCCCTGGTAAAGGGGGCGTGAGAGGGCTTGATATAGGTACCAATTGGCTATTTTACGTATTAACCCTCGTAGCCAATCTCTGACTTCTTAAAATTTGTGAACGTCAGACATAGGATCAATTATGCTAGCAAACAAAGATGGAGAAATCTGTTTTGCTAACTTAATCGCTCTAGATAAACTAAAGAACGATAAGTAGAGTTTAACTAGCATATCAGCTTTATCATCCCTTTTATTTATATATTTTTTGTCTATGAAAGGATGGTCTGATCCTAGGGTAACCTGATCTAGTGAGTGATACGAGTACAGATATTTTAGTATGAATATCATATGGGGTAATCCCACCATACGCCTGTTGAAGTGTTACTGCGCACTGCTTCAGATATAAAGCAGTAAACAGAGCGCCTGACCGGCGATTCAAACTACCTGCTTGGCAAAGAGGTATGCTCTGATACAGAGCTCCTTGGTTAGGTTAGACCATCAGTGACTACTAAAATCAACTTATTACACATTGACTTTAGTAGCCGAAGATCTTCCACCATTAGATGAGTCTAACTATAGATATCCTATAAAAAAAGTTTTCCAGATGGAAGCCTATTATCTAAATAGATAAGCTTCCTACGCTGGTTTGGTTACCTGCATGAGGCCGCTTGATATCATATCTGACCCCACCCGGGTGGCTTCCGCGTCACCCCCAGTTGCTCCATTCTGGATCCCTGAGTGATAGAATAGCTATAAGCTATCCCACCAAACCTCACCTTGATGAGTTTCACTAAGAAACCGGGGGGTGCCTATTTGACTAACATAGGGCTCTGTCTTACCAAGCAGAGTGAGGTTATAAACTATAATTTTGTGATAGGACTGACCCTGGTGAGAACCAACCTATCACGTGAGGTTCCGCCTCGTTGGCCTTAGTCTTGCGATCTAAGGGTGAAGGAGTCATGGATTGGTTACCCAGTTTACCCCTATCCGTATCTACATCTACGTCCTGATTGAGTTACATAGAAACTAAGAGAACTTGAAAGCAAGAGATCCAACAGCTATAATATGCATCTACGACTAGCTACAGGAACTAGATGAAAACTTCTACAACAGGGTATCGAAGAATGCATTCTGACATCGAGTCCTCAATCAATGTAGATGATTCAACAAGGTAGACCGAAGCAACTCGTCGATTAGCTATCACCACATCGTTGCCGAGAATGGCATAGCGATCAAACTAGTGCTAGTGACTGTCTACGGCTACGGCTTATGCCTTCACTCGGGGGAGAGCACCCATCCAAAAAGCAGAAAAGTGAAGAAGTGCAGAAGGAAAAGGCAAACCCTCGGATGGACCTAAACTAGACTCAGTCCGATCTCCTGCAAGAGGGTCCAAAGTAGAGTGGCACGGAATCGGCCGGAAAAGACAGATCTGAGAATTGCGTATATTGAGTGAGATGCCGCTTCAAAGATGCTACTTACCTAGGATGGTGTGCTTTTCGCTCCTTTGGATTTCTTTCTCCCGGAGACCATGCCATTCCTCGACACCGACCTTCAAACAAAGTCAGATGAGGAGCTGGCTTCCCTCAAAGCTGCTATGGTTGACTTGCCCGTTCCGCTTCTCTCCCGCTTTGGGTCGGTTCTTCCTCCAGCAACCTATTCTTTCACAGCTTCTATGCCAAGGGATTATTTATTATTAAGAAAAGAAAAATTATATTATGCATGCAAGATGTATTGGGGTCACAAAAAATTATTTCTGAAAACAAAGCGCTCTTAGTTCAGTTCGGTAGAATGCGGGTGTTGTACCCCAAAATTTTCCCTCCCATTTCCTCAACATTTTCTCATCACAAGACCCTGGGAACTCAAGATTCAGTTAGGGTTTCCTCTGCTCAAGACTTCTCCTTGCACTATTGACCCAAATTAGGGTTTGTGTTTGCACAAAGATGTTTTGACCTAAAATGCCTAAGATGACTTTCATGCTTCATGTTGAACTCCCAAGTTTATCCATACCAAGTTTCAAGTCTTGATTCCAAACTTTGCCCAGTCAATTGGACAGTTGACCTAGAAATCAGTTGTATTGGGGAAAAAGTCAACTGTGGTCAATTGATAGTTAAACCTCATGAAATTTGACCCACATCAACATATTGAACTCATATAAACCATTTGGTCAAGTTTGGATCACAATTCCACAAGAAATTTGATCAGATCACCAAAAGGGCAAAATGGTCATTTTTAGGGTTTTGACTGCACAAAGGCAATTTTTGACTGCTTGACCTAACCAATGGCAAACCAAGCTCATATATGGACTCAAGGACCCAATGGAATTGTCTTGACATGTTCAACAAGTTCAAAAGATCCCAAATGCACAAGATTGACAGATGAATTTTCCAGTCAATTGATCAATTTTTGACTGTATACTGAAAAGTCAAAGTTTGACTTTTTGGTCAAAATCAAGTGTCAAGATTCATTTTTCATCAAAACATGTCAAAATATGAAACTTGTTCATCAAGAAACCCAAAATTGCAAATTAGGGTTTAAAATGAAGAATTTTCATAACTTAGAATTTTTCTAAGTTATGAAAATCCCTAATTTTTTCCTAACTTTGTCCCACTTTTTCATCAAGATGCATTTGGATTCAAGGAAAATTCAAAACATGAAAGTTGAATTCTATTGCAAAATCTACAACTTTGATTCACAAAGTTTCCTCAAAAGAAGCTTGTAGCTCAAGTTATGATTTTTGGAACAAGGGTGCAAAACATTTTAACTTAGAAAAATTTTGACCTATTTTAGGCAGGATTTTTGCCTAACTTCATGGCTACTTTTCACATGCTTCCACTTGGAATTTCAATTTTTATTACAAAATGGATTGTAGTACACATTCCAAGCTTTCCAAAATGTCCAAGAACTCATCAAACAACCTTATGGTTAGGGAGAATCGAATTTGGCAATATGGGCAAAACTCACTTTGTTCATGGCCAATTTACATGTCCATAACTTTGCATTTTTGAACTCAGCATGCTCTAAGCTAGATTACAGGTCCTTTATCTCATTCACACTCATAAATTTAATGCCAATCCTTCATGTTTAAGTCTTAACTTGTGTGTTTAAGCATTGCATACAAGATTGAGCCATAATTAGAAAAAGCAATATATCCATTTTGGTAAAGTTGCACTTTATGTCAAATTTGCAATCCAAGTGGTACAATGCATATCTTTGGACACAAGATTCATGGAGATATCACACTGATCAAGGCTCAAGTGTGCAGCATACTTGAGGGGCCTGTACAAGTCTAGAGAACCAAACTTGCCATTTCTTGCTTAAGTTAGAAGTAACTTGGCATAACTTACACCAACTCTCATTTCAGCCAACACAAGCTTAAGCAAAGTTGTTGTACACCTTCCAAATAATATAACAGAGCTAAGGCACGAGCAAAACACCCTCCAAACATCATCAAACCTCAAAACACCCTCCTACTGCTGAAAACAGAGTCACCTCTGCAGTTGGACTTCCATAACTCAATTCACTCGTGCATTCTTGC